GCTGTGCGGCTCAGGGCATCAGGATTGCGCTGTCCCAGCGCCAGGGCAGAGGCAGGTGATGGATGGACACCTCCTCCCCGCCGTGGTGAGGCTGATCTCGTTTTGTCTCGACTCAAACATGGAGCGGAGCCGGGGACAGTGAAATGACGGCTGCAGCAATGGGCTGGGCCTGAGCTCTTCATGCAGGGCAGGATTGTGACCCGAAAGGAGGAACTGAGCTGCTCGTCTCCCCCCTGGACACTTGGCTGGTGAGGCTGGTTCCTAACGAAGACCTCAGCGGGGGGAAGGTCCCTCCAGTGAACCCCTGGTGAGCAGCTCAGGAGCAGGGAGCTTTGCTTGGGTGCATCCCCTTTGCCAAAGAAATGTGAGCGTGGAGGGTGTCACCTATGGAGAAGTGGGACAGCAGTGCCTCTGCTTTCCATGTGCCCGAGTGGATGGTGAGTTATTTAGCTTCTTTCTTAGCTGCTGCCTGCTTCATGTCAGGAGGGAGCTTCACGTCTCCACACTGGGATACGGTGGCCTTCAGCTGGAATGAGGGTCCTTAAAGTCTGATGTTATGAGGACTCTTAGATGTCCTCCCTTGCCTGCACAGCATCGTTCTTCAGCATGAGCTGAAGGTGATCAGGTAATGGGGGAATCGTCTTCACGGGCCATCCCATCACCCATATTAAGAACTAATCTTTGTGGCAGTTCAGGAGCAGAGGGGAGGAGGAGTAGGAGAAAACCTCAGTGAGGCTTTGAATTTCATCAGGATCAACACAGCAGGTCCTGTCTTTTTGGCTACTTTAATTTTGATCACCAATTTAGATCCTGTCATTGGAATAAACCCCCTAAAACAAGACGCCCATGAGGGCACCATGTGCTGCTTTTGGTGGTTAAACTGAGTGGGAGAGATACCAGCAAATATTAAACCACACTTTGCTCCTCTGGTGGCAAGAAGTCCCAGAGCAGCTGAAAATACAATGACATTGCTCCAAAAGCAGGGTGTGCTCGGGAAGCAGGAGATGGTGTGTCTGGAGGTTGGCTTCACGTGTCCCTTGAGGTTCTTGTGCTCCAGAAATGCTCATGGTACTTGAGAAGCACCGAACTCCTCCATCAGTGTTTGTTGCACCTTCCCAGGTCTCTGCTCTCATCTCCCACTTCTATTTTTGAACTCTTCCCTCTTGGTAGTTCTAAAAATACTGAAATCACTCCAAAAGTGGATGTTCTTGTGCTCCTGGAGACGTGTTGCTGCTTTGATCTCTATCTGCAGAGTCTGTGCAAGGTGATGGGATTCAAACTTCACTGTTCCCTTTTATATCCGACTTCATTCCCCCCCCCCAGCCCTGTCATGGTTTTAAGCTTTCTTTGGGTATGATTACACTTTATTCTGCTTCTCCTTCATCTCTTATAGACTGAACTAGGCCAAGGGGAATGGCTTTAACCTGCCAGAGGGGAGATTGAGATGAGCTCTGAGGCAGAAGCTCTTCCCTGGGAGGGTGCTGAGGCGCTGGCACAGGGTGCCCAGAGAAGCTGTGGCTGCCCCATCCCTGGCAGTGTTCAAGGGCAGGTTGGACACAGGGGCTTGGAGCAACCTGCTCTAGTGGAAGGTGTCCCTGCCCGGGGCAGGGGTTGGAGCTGGAGGAGCTTTAAGGTCCCTTCAACACAAACCAGGCTGGGGTTTGATGTTCTCTTCCTGCTTCCACCCAGGTTCTGTCAGTGCAATTCTTCTGGCTTCACCCAACTTCTGTCGTATTTATTTGACATTAGTTTTGCGTTTCAGGCTTAGCACTGATACATTTGGCATAATCCCCATAAATAACTATATATTTATTGTTTCCAATGTGGATTTCTCACTGCTGATTGTAAAAGTCTGAAGTTCCGCGTTAAAGCAAGCAGCAAACCTCTCCCTATGGATCTATCCCCCTCTGTAGTATTTTCCTGTATGGATTTGGTGCTGCTGGGACAGGACCAGGTGACATTAAATAGACCTTATGGCCATAGCAATCCTCCTGCAGTGTGGATGTGTGACTTTATAGATGGTGTAAAGCTGCTGTGGCGTCCAGCTCCATCTCAAAGGCCTTAAGGTCATGTCCTGCAGCAATGGTTTTAATGAGGGTTGTAACGTTTGCATTTCATGTGGTTTCTGAACAGCCACATTGCAACAACTAATTGGCTTAAGCTTTAAAATGTTCATTATCTTTAAAGGTCATTATTCAAATGATCTTCTCTGCCTTGATGTTCTCACCAGGTTGAACATTTACTGCAGGACACCTCTTATTATTGACCAAATACTGATAAAATAGATTATTAATGGATAATAATAATTCCTTCTGCACTGCTTCTTGGAAGAGGAGGTTAAAATATGAGTTCTCCATGTTCTGTGGTTCTGATGGCTGGGAGGAGATTGGTTGGGTTTGGGTCCTTAGAACTGTATCAAGGCTGTGATAAAGGTTTGGGGTTTGCAGACCTGAGCAGCAACACAAACCAAGGTCATTTAATCTGCTGTGAGCCAAATTTGGGATCACAGCATTTCACTTATTGGGAAACCCCCTCAGTTTTCTGACAAATCTGAGAGGAGCTGCGTGGAGACCTCAGAGCAGCTTCAGTATCTGAAAGGAGCTACAAGGATGCTGCATAGGGTCCTTCATCAAGGACTGGGACATGGTCAGGGACCCCTTCCACTAGAGCAGGTTGCTCCAAGCCCCTGTGTCCAACCTGGCCTTGAACACTGCCAGGGATGGGGCAGCCACAGCTTCTCTGGGCACCCTGTGCCAGCGCCTCAGCACCCTCACAGGGAAGAGCTTCTCCCCTCTGGCAGGTTATAAGTCAGCACCACATTCCTGAGCTGTTCTTCAGAAGGAAGATGCCAAAGGGTTAAACGTGTGTGTTATTCCCAGAGTTGGGCTCCATGTGACCTTTTGGCTGGAGAACTGGAATCTGAAACACTTTGAGCTCCAGTGAGAGTTTTGGCTGGGTGAGCAGCACTGTCAGGATTCCACAGTAATTTAAGGCATGTGAAACTCTAGAACAAGTGAGTCTGGACAGACCCTTTCTTGCAGTGATGTGATCTGGGAGGTGGATTGGCAGAACAGGAGCTGCCGGCATTGTTCAAGCTGCTGCTTGCTGCTTGTTTCAAGCATCATAGAACCCCAGATTGGTTTGGGATGAAGGGACCTTAAAGCTCCTCTAGCTCCAACCCCTGCCCCGGGCAGGGACACCTTCCACTAGAGCAGGTTGCTCCAAGCCCCTGTGTCCAACCTGGCCTTGAATGGTCCCGGCTGCCTTTGAGATGCCAGCACCCACTGTGTCCGTTCACGTCTCTGGTTTCACAAGGGGAAGTGGAGCAGGAGATGGAGTGTCTGGCTTGGCAGCTCACGTGCTAGAGGGAACCAGCTTTTCCTTCATGAATAGGGATGGGAGAGGAGGAGGAGGTTTGGTCTGGGAGCTGCAAGCCCCGGTGGAATATCAGAATAGTCACGTTGGTCCCCTCCATTCTAGTCACAGCTGTAAAATTACTTCTCTTACGATCTTTATGCTGCTTTATTTAAACAAAATAACAATTAAATTAATCTTACCACTTGGCAGAGAATCACACAATGGTTTGGGTTGGAAAGGA